CTTTGATCATTTCGCTTTGTGGGAGGAACATATCTGGGAAGAAAAACGGTCCAGCCGTGACAACTCTCTGCCACACGAGTCATGTGTAAGCCGGACCGTGTTGGCATCTGTCTTCCTCAAAACAGCCTTTCCTCTTCATTATGAAGATCAGTCAAGTTAATGGGCACCACCGATTGGGAGTAAATGGTACTATTTTGTAAGTACTGACCAACCGTTAACAGCAGTGCCCGGTAGCATGCACCATTGTGGCTTCCCCAAAAACCCTCTGCTGGGGCTATAGATTGGCCCCCTTCCCACTTGGCCTTGGGAGGAAGCCCACGATGACTTCCAGAACCTTAAGACACCATCCCAAAGCCACAGACTTTATTCTTTAGGTTTGGGAAAAGTGCTCTTTAAAAGTGCTCTGGTCAACAGTCTTATAATTCTGATAAGGACTCGCTCTTTATTTAAATCTACAGATGGAAGGCAGAAGCTTAGGGGTCTTTGACATTGACCATACCAATCACGACAGTCTGGAAGATACTGTGTTGAGTGCAATGAGCCATAATACAAGCAAGAAACATTTCCTATGCTCCAGGGACTTACAATCTGGTTGGGGTGAAGGGTACACCAGTGATGAACTTACCTGCATCCTGATGATATGACCAGAATCGCTATAGGGTGCAGATGCCATGCTGGAGGCTCAGAAGGGCGTTGGATGTTTGCTGAGCTCCGCGGTTCTTACACCTGAGCGTGCATCAGAACCCCTGGGATGGTGGCTGAAACACCGACTGCTGGCACCAATCTTAGCATTTCTGATTCAGTAGGTCTGGGGTGGGCCTGAGAAGTTGCATTTCTAGCAAGTTCCCAGGTGATGCTGATATTGTTTAGAAATATCCTGTCCAAGATATTTTCATAAGAGAAACCTTCCTTCTGAGAGTGTGAGGAAACACGTTTATTGAGTGCCTAGTTTATTGAGTGCCTAGTTTATTGAGTACCGATTCAGTGTATCAGGTACTTTGCATATAATATCTTGTGTAGATTTCACAACAACCCTGTGACTTTTGTGCTATTATTGCCACTTTACAATGAACAAACTAAAGCCAGTAATTGTAAACCTTGTAGAAGCTACCTTGCAAACACATAGAGGAATTTTTGACTTATGTAACTACTTTGTCTTAAAAAAAAGTCAGCGACATTTTTCACTGAGGTTATTTTCTTTGGCACACCGAGTGACCACAGATAGACCTTTTCAGGGCCATGCCCAAACAAAACTGTGAAGTAAAGTAGGCAGAGCTGGCTTGGGGCCCCACCCGCCTCTGCTCTGTGCTTTTCTGTACCCACCGCTTGCATCTCTTCCCTCGTGGCTAGGTGTCTGCACGCCTCTTCTCCCTTATCCCTTCTCCCTATCAACCTGTTCTTAAGAAAGGTTCTATACTTCCTTCAAACTGAATTGTGAGGGATTTTTGGAAACTTAAAAGATTGTTCCACTGATGTATTCTTGCATCTAGCAGGAATCAAAGTCTTAAGCTAGAGGAATGAAGCTTTAACGGTGGGTTTTAAACATAAGACGTTAAGTAGGAGTTGAAGAGTTCCCCACATCCCATAAGGGATCACCATCATTTCCATGCAAACGTACAACCACGAGCATATAAATGAAGGTGATTTTTAAAGTCATTTCTGGGCCAGCCCGGTGGTGCACTGGAGAGTGCGCCGCTTGGGAGCGCGGCGGCGCTCCCCCCGAGGGTTCGGATCCCATGTGGAGACTGGTTCCTGCTCACTGGCTGAGCGCAATGCGGACGCAACACCGAGGGTTGCGAGCCCATTGCCGGTCAGTAAAAAAGACAAAGAGGAAAAAAAAATTTAAAAAAATTAAGTCATTTCTTATTGCAGTAGCTTTGTGGTTTCTATCCTCTTCTCTCTCCTGCGCTTACCGCTCTTGGAGTTCACTGGACATATTCGTTGGTACTTGTGGGTTGCAGGTGACAAGAATCCCAGTCCAACCATCGTAAGGAAAAAAAGTTCAGACAACCAAACCACCACATGGGAGGGTGGAGCTGACTTTCTGGTTGAATCTGGCTTAACCGTTACTGACACCCTGTCTCACACACACATCTCCATCGTCTTCTGTCTGACTCCATTTGCACTGGTCTCATGACCTTCCACTCCCCCATATATTAAGTCTTATAGTCCTCAATTTGAGGGGAAAAGAGCATGCTTCAGCTCCACCTAAAGTCAAATCAGAAAAGTTGGGGCAGGATGCTGAGGAGTCTGCTCAGATCACACGCCCGCCTATTACGCCAACCACGTGCTAGGCAGGCGCAGCATGAGAACTGTCATCTCTGGACAGCCCCTTAAGAAGCACATGATGCAAGGGACTCGCCTCGCCCTCGAACTTCGGTTTGTTCATCTACAAAATGAGGGACAGGAGATCGCTCTAAATCCCTCAGCTTTAACCCGATTCTATTTCAACATCGCGTCTTCAGTCTTGGTATTCTAATCACTCTGTCTTTATCCCTGTTACATGTCCTCCCTCCCACCAGAAGGTCAAGTAACATTGGGAGGTCTCAACTCCGAGTCTCTCTAAACGGGGGAAGGGGCAGCTCCTGAGCAAAAGCCTTATAGCTCGGCCTCGGCCAAATTTAACCACCATTTATGCTGCATGATGTATGATGTCCACAATTCCAAAATTCGTCAAGCATACCAAATTTAGCATTTTGCCTGGGTAACAAAAGAGCATATTCACTGGAAGGTCAACTGGAGATTTTCCTTTATGCCATTATGCTGGGGGCATGAAAAGATGCTTATGTGATTGGCTCTAATCAGATGCAGCCCGGGTTCAAAGTGGCCAGGATTTGGTGGTGTGCCAGGCTGTTTGTCTATTTCCACGCCATTGAACACTCATTTTTCTCCAAAACCAATATGAAATTTCTTCAATGAAATACTTCCCCACCTGCCAACAAAGGCCATCAGTTCTTTCTCTTTATAATTCCCACACTTCTATTGTGATGATCTTTGACCATGTCTATACCTCTCATTAGGAACGTCTCTCCTTAGACGATTAGTTCACAGAAGGCAGGGACCAGGACTTACTTATATCTGGTCAACATCAGGTCTATGCTGTCTTCATCACACTGGGCCACTTGGTGTCTTAAGATTCAACTAGATATGTGTGCTCTTAAGCAAGTATAAATCCTTCCTCAGTCTCAGTTTCCTTTTCTTTAAAATAGTGGAAATAACACCTACTCTGCTGTATTGGGGCAAAGTGCCTGGCACAGAATTCAACGTATGGCAGAGGCACAAACATGGTTTTGTCTTATTTTTAAGTTCCCAAATGACACCAAGAATGGTGACATGGGTGGCAGTACAGTAGAGTGTCCACAATCCTAGGATCAAATCCCAGCTCAGCCACGTGCCAGTCAATTGCATGAATTTAAACTAGTCTCTTAATGTTTTAAAGCCTCAATTCTTCTTATACGAAGTGGGGATGATGGTCTTTCCACCTCACTGACATGAGTGGATAAAGAGAGAAAACAGATGTACTAAGGCACCAACCACAGCACCCAGCATGTAGGCAAACCCTTATAGATGGTAATATGCATTGTTGTCATCTGTAATGGAGAGTGACAAAGGCAGCAGCAGATTACAAGCCCCTGGGACGCCTCTGCGTGCTCTCTGGTCTTTTCTGCTTTATGTATTCTGGTGAATACAAATCCACATTAGCAGAAGCGATGGGTAATTGCCTCCTTGTGGGCTAGACCTGTCCTAAGGCAGCAAATTACCATATTCTTCTTTTTTTCTTGAGACTTCCAATGGGATATGTCTGCTCTAATTTAGTGAACCTCTTCTTTTCGTGTCTGGCTCAAAGAGGCAGTAGCACATGCACATTTCCAAATGCGTAATTTTTGTGAACACTCAGGCCCTAACTACATGGGGAAAGCAGTCTGGGGGGGAGAGCTCTGGGGATCTGTTCACATTCGTTGAAACTGGTGCCGAACAAACTTCCACCATTAATTGTGTCTCAGCAATCTTCTCCTGGAAAAAATAACTAATGTGCAGGCTTCTAGCTGTTGCTTGGCCTTTGTGTGTTCTTGGCTCTTGACTTTGCATTGTTTTCAGTGTTGTTATGCAGTCACATCATATACCGAGCAAATGGAGCACTCCCCCCAACCCCAATTCCAAGTTTGTCAATCCATTTCCTTCCTTGTGGTTCTACCAGTGCAAGAGCACATGGAAGCTGCGCACAGTGGACGTTTGCTNTTCTTCTTTTTTTCTTGAGACTTCCAATGGGATATGTCTGCTCTAATTTAGTGAACCTCTTCTTTTCGTGTCTGGCTCAAAGAGGCAGTAGCACATGCACATTTCCAAATGCGTAATTTTTGTGAACACTCAGGCCCTAACTACATGGGGAAAGCAGTCTGGGGATTCTTCTTTTTTTCTTGAGACTTCCAATGGGATATGTCTGCTCTAATTTAGTGAACCTCTTTTCGTGTCTGGCTCAAAGAGGCAGTAGCACATGCACATTTCCAAATGCGTAATTTGTGTGAACACTCAGGCCCTAACTACATGGGGAAAGCAGTCTGGGGGGGACAGCTCTGGGGATCTGTTCACATTCGTTGAAACTGGTGCCGAACAAACTTCCACCATTAATTGTGTCTCAGCAATCTTCTCCTGGAAAAAATAACTAATGTGCAGGCTTCTAGCTGTTGCTTGGCCTTTGTGTGTTCTTGGCTCTCGACTTTGCATTGTTTTTAGTGTTGTTATGCAGTCACATCATATACCGAGCAAATGGAGCACTCCCCCCAACCCCAATTCCAAGTTTGTCAATCCATTTCCTTCCTTGTGGTTCTACCAGTGCAAGAGCACATGGAAGCTGCGCACAGTGGACGTTTGCTCTGTGCACAGGCACGCTCAAGGTTTGGGCTGAGAGTGCATGCAGAGGGCACCCAGCAGGTGGGAGCCGCTGACCCTGGAAGACCTTCCTCAACAGGAAGATGATGTTCTCCTTTGCTCCGCAGGTAATGCAGGTGGTGAAGGAGCAGGTTCTGAGAGCGCTCACAACCAAGCCTAGCTCCCTGGACCAGTTCAAGAGCAAACTGCAGAACCTGAGCTACACTGAGATCCTGAAAATCCGTCAGTCCGAGAGGATGAACCAGGAAGACTTCCAGTCTCGCCCGATTTTGTAAGTCTGACCTCTTTCTCCCCAAATGCTCTGGCCCCCCATTTCTAGGCTGCTGTGAGCTTGTTAGGGAAAGCCAACAGGACATTCTGAAAGATCTCCGTTTGGTTAGGGAAGTCTCGACAGCCCCTTGAGGAAGGGCTGGGCAGGGGGGGCTGTGTAGGAGGTGGGGCTGGGGGCTGGCGGAATGGATCTAATCCAGGCATTGACCCAGTTACTGACAGGTCCTCCGGGGATTTGTAGCGAAAACATTCTGGACCTTTTCCAACTCTTGGAGCACATTTTTTTTGTTCATGAAACTGTATTCTCTGTGGATGGTCTTTGAGTGACAAGATGTGTGGCCTGGCCAGAGTGTAACCCACTGATAGTTAGAGCAATATAAACACTGAAGCAGCGTGAGTGCAATTCAGTGGAGCAGAGCTGGAGAGGAGCACAGACTTGCCTCCTCCCTGCCACTTGTGCCGCCCCGACCGTAAACCCGCAGGCCTGCAGTGGGCAGGCAACAGCCCCCCTTCTACAGGACTTTCCATCAAATGTCACTTGCAACCATTCTGAAATGTCATGTATCTCCATCTTTAAATTGTTCCAAACTCCAAACGGGATTCTTTTGCTTGCCCCGTCTTTTCTTGGAAGTGGCCTGTTTATCTCCCTTTGCCCAGTTGTCCTAAGAGCTGGGTTAGTTTTGTTGCCCTTATACTTAATAGAGAAGGAAATAGGGGTAAGGTATTTGAGGTTTATGCTCATTGTGTCCTCAGGAGACTGGGCGTAGCTTCTTCTGAACCTTTTTACGAGGCCAGCTTGCAACATAGATGTGACTCTGAAACCCATCTCTTCAACCATCCCTCCGATACACATCCACACTCACGCTGTGTTTTTGATTCTTTCTCTTTCTGCCCATCTTTTGATTTCTTGCTATCATGTATTTGACATTTTTAATGCTTGGCAATTGGCAAAGAACCCCTCATGCCATTTCATATCCTTGAATCCCTATGAGATAGACAGGTCTTATTCGCATTCAAAGACTATGAGATAGTCTAGAGATAGTCTAGATAGTCTTGCTAGTAAATGGAGGAGCTGGGACTTGAACTCAAGGCTGCTGACCCTTCAAACAATGCCTCATCTACCCATCAGAGCTTCTTTGCCATGTGCGGGAAATGGGGTTAAAAAAATGCACAGGTCTGAAAAAACAATAGCCAAGCTATCGCATCTGCCATACATTTGTTTTCAGATCTTAAGAAGCACCATTAGAAACTGCAGAGTGGGACAGCATGAAGTTAGTCAGCAGGAGAGGGACAGTACTTCCCAGGGGCTTTGGCTTACATCCTTGTGAAACCCAAGTCACACCCGTGCTGAGCACCAGCCAGCCCTTACAAGAGGCACCTCTAGGGTTTTGCATTGGTCCTCAGCTGGAAGAAGGGAACAGCCAGAAATACTGCCCAGAAAGCACTTCGGATAAGTGACTGGCTCATTGGAGATGCAGTTTGTCACCTGCAAGGAGGGATGGTGGCACCTCGCCCCATCAAACCCATCCCAGGGCCTAAGTACTGAAATGCAGGATGTCATAATGTCTGTTTCAGCAGATGCGTAAACATGAGGACACTTTATTATGCTTTTGATGACAATTCTTAAAACCTAAGGGGAGACTTGAGGAATCACTTCAGTTCAGGCCATGCCATTCTAAATTAACGCTGGCCGTGACTTTGTTCCCGGTAAGAGCATTAGCTGCATGTCAAGTGTGCATGTTATGTTCCTGCTTCAGCTTTTTATCTTCACTTCCCGAGGCTCTGCCTGTGACATTCTGAAGTTTCTTTTCCCTTTTTACAAGATGTGCGTATCTTTACATTTGCTTTGTAAGGAGAAGCAATGCAAATACGAAAGAGATCTCCTGTGTGGTGCAGCTCCTGCCTCGTCCCTCGGCCAGCCATGAGACTGAAGTTATATGTAGTTACGGTCAAGTTATAAAGAGTGTTAGAAGCTACAGCTTTGGGAAGGAAGGCCAGGGACCAGCTGGATCATGATCCCAGCCTCTGATACTGGCAGGCGGGAGCTGTGATATGTTTTGTCTGTTAGAGTGATCTATTCTCCAGTGGTCTGGTTTGTCTCTGAAGGTGATCTGCCAGACAGGAACCCATTGTGGGGTTGGATAAAGTCTTAAATGATGCCAAAATGGCTCACACAATAAACCCACGTCACCTAAGAGAAAGGGATAAGACCATGGATGCTGGTTTTCATTCATTCACTCACCTAACAGACATGTATTGAGCAATCGTACCTGCCAGGTTCTGCCTGAGGTGCTGGGAACAGGCAGAGACCCAGAGACATTTGACCTCAGGCTTAAAAGCTGGAGTTGGGGATGAGGGAGTTTCCACAGACCGAGCTCAGTGCTTGGTTACAGGAAGCATATGTGGGGGACTGTGAGAGCATACAGGAGATGCGTCTAACCCAAGCTTGGGGGTCAGGGCATTGGAATTTTAGGGATACAAAGCACCTTGAAGGCCAGCCAGTTTAAGCTTTTCATTTTGCACACAGGGACAGCAACTTGGCTGGACAGGAAGCATATGTGGGGGACTGTGAGAGCATACAGGAGATGCGTCTAACCCAAGCTTGGGATTCAGGGCATTGGAATTTTAGGGATACAAAGCACCTTGAAGGCCAGCCAGTTTAAGCTTTTCATTTTGCACACAGGGACAGCAACTTGGCTGGGCCCGACCACCAGTGCAGAATCCCACTGGCCATCAGGCCGGCTCCCCTGCCTCTCCACTCCTGTGGTGGCCTCTCCCCCCATCCCCACAGCCACCTCTCTGTGTGCTGCACACAGCACAGCGCAAACCTCAGCTCCATGCAGACCCCGTGAGCCACACACCCCGCTTTTATAAAATGTTTGTTTCCTGAGAAGAAAAATGTAAACTCCGTGTGAACAACTATTTGGATGAAATATATATTCAGGGGGTTGGTAGAGCTCTGTTTTACTTCTTGGGTCTTGATTAATTACATCAAAGAGGAGGTATTTGTTATTTCCTATTTCATGTGACTTAATAGGGAAGATAAGTCCATCCACACAATTAATCAGAGTTAACAGATAGAAAAAGCTTGAATTGTCCAAAAATAGGTCATTTAACACTGTGCTGGAGGAGAAGGAACTACAAGGGCAAGCACCACTGAAGCAGGGAGGTAGAATGTGTGGAACCTGGACCCAGAGCCAGCAGCCTGGGGTCAGATCCCAACGCCGCTGTCAACAGATGTGGCTCGGCAGGCAGGTGACGTAACCCAGCCCCAGCCTGCTTTTCTCGTCTCTGAAAAGGAAGACAACAAGTCTAGGTCATCAAATTGCTAGAGGAGTCAACAAAATACTATATGGAGAGCACTTAGCACGTGCCTGGCGTGCGGTATCCTCTCAAAGGAGAGGCCCATCTTATTGTTAGCCAGGAACCTGAATTTAACAAGTCGTGATACTGTTGATATGTAAGTGGTAAAACTGACACTGTGAATGTATTTCTCTATGCCTCATCTTGTCTTAGAAAGTGTGGTAGAAATAGGGAGCCTGATTGCACAGGGCATTTTGGGGGAGCCATTGGAGGGTTGTGAGCAGAGATGATACAATCTGACCAAGGTTTTTAAGTAATCCCACTGGGTGCTGTATTGGGAACAGACTGTAAGGAGGCAAGTTTGGAAACAGAGAGATCAGTTAGGAAGCTATTCGATCATCTAATAATCATGAGAAGTGATTAGAGTCTCTACTTAAAACTTAGATTATTTTGAAGGTAAGAGACAGTGGTATTTCCTCATTGATTAGATGTGGGGTATGAGATAAAGAGAGAAGTCAAGGATGAGCTCAAGATTTGGGGCCTGAACAGCTGAGGTCAGCTTCAGACAGACCAGGCTCGATGCTTCCAAGTGGGCGGCTGGACCGGAAGTCAAGGATGAGCTCAAGATTTGGGGCCTGAACAGCTGAGGTCAGCTTCAGACAGACCAAGCTCGAGGCTTCCAAGTGGGCAGCTGGACCAATGAGTTTGGAGTTGGGCAGAGAGGTCAGCGTTGGAAATATAAATGGGGAGTTGTTAGCGTAACGTTGATATTTAAAGCCACGAGTCTGTAATACAAGGAACAGAAGAAGTCTAGGGACTGAGCCCTGAGGCTTTCCATTGCTGGGCCGGAAACGATCAATTTCCATGAAACCAACACCACCACTCAGCCCAGGGCCCCTACAGAGCCCTTCTAGGTCCGGGGTCGACAAACTATGGATCCTGGACTAAATTTCACCCACTGCCTGTCTTCGTAAAAAGTTTCATTGGAATACAGTCATGTACACACACTGTCGATGGCTGCGTTCCTCTGTCATGGCACAGTTGGGTACTTGAGACAAACATCAACCACGTGGTCAGGCCCAAAGTGTTTACTGTCTGACCCTTCACAGAAAGTGATTGCTGACCCTGTTCTGGATGAGCGGCAGGTGGTCGCTCAGTAGGGCAGAGCCCTTCAGAGGAGGAACCTCACCGTCTCCTGGTGTTCCCTGAGGCAGTGGCCTCCTAGGGCGTGGACTTGAAATTGTTTTCCAGAAACGGTGCTGGACTTTGAACTGCTCTTCACGTACTCTTTTACCCTCTGTCCTTTAATCTTCCTCCTTTTATTTCTTTACGAGGCCTTGGGATAAAATGAGAGGGATATTTGTCAAAGCAAGGCCAGTGAGCCCATGACTCTGGCCTCACTGACCCCAAGCTGAGAATTTCAAAAGCTAGTTACAGCCCCTGATGTTATCACCTGCATTACCCCAGAGGTCACATCACAGCCACAGAAACATGATGTGGGGTGACTTATGTTTTCTTAATATGTGTGAATTGTATGGCTACTGCCGTACTGTCCATTTGCAGGGAAAGAAGAAATCTCTAAGAAAAAAGAAGACCTGTCCCATGTCCCTCATTACCTAATCATGTTTTGGAGACCTTTGGGGTTCATAACAAAAAGGGTAACTCTTGTAGCAGCAGATTCACTTATTCTGATAGTGCATTCCCAGAAGGTGTTTCCATAATGAAGTGTGTCAGGCCAAGCACATCTGAGACTTACACTGAAGTCATAAAGCATCAATTAAAATTACTGGGATGTTCTCACAATTATTTCCTCCTAGCAAAACTACTGCTTAAAGATACATCTATAACCTAAGAACTGATGAAATTCTAAAACTCTTCCTCCCTTGTCTTCTCCCTGTCCGCCCCGTTGCCGGGACTTGGAAGTCGGGAGTGGTGATTTATTGCAGTGGGCCATTGACCTGGCAGTTCCCCACCACCCACTCCATTTACCACAGAGTTTATCAAAGCTGCAATTTACTGGGTCCATTTTACAAATGCTGAATGTTGATAATAAATAGTTTTAGTAACCTGAAAGCCTGAGATGAGACCCTAAAAGACCTGCACAGGGAAGGCTTTACAAATGTTCCATGCTCTATTATTAAGGCTGAATTTTCATATTATGCTTTAGAGATGTTCAGTTGGAACAGTGTCAAATGACAGGAGGTTTGAGGCCATTTAACCCCCCTAAAAACATAGTAATGGAGTACTAGAATACCCTGCTAGGTTGCTGGATCCTTTTATGTAACTTTTTTTCCTTTTTCCTCATGTGTTAATAGAAGCGCCTTGAACAAGGAAGACCTGAGTTTGAACCCATAGTCTACACTTAACCTTCATGAGCTGTTTCCCCATCTGAAAGATAGGAATGAGGATGTTAATATGTCCCCTAAAGCTGTTTCCTCTGGGTGAGAGGCAGAGGGAAAGGATGTTAAATGAGCTAAAACTGCATCGTGCACTCCCTGGCTCACAGCAGGTGCTTACTGAGCATTGGTGCCTTTCCCACCTAAGAATGAATGCCACGTGAGAACAGGTCACCTGCAGTCTGGGGTCAGGGCAAGTCCAGATTTAAGGCTGAAGCTGATGAACATGTGAGCCTTGACTACAGTTTAATTATGTGCATATGGGGTGTTTGGCCTTAGGAAAGGAGAGAATATTACCAAAGCAAATTCAGTAATGCCTGCAGTCCTTCCCGGTGCTTAGTAAGGACTTGTACTTTCACTGTCTTTTTTGGGGAGTCATAGCAGTTCCCCAGGAAAGATTTTTATTCACATTATATAGATGAGAAAACTGAGACATAGATGGGCCACATGAAACACTAGTCACAGGCAGAGCCTGGTTGGAAACTCTAGTCTATGACTTCTTCATCTGTGTTCTAGCCAGTACTTGCAACCCTGCTCTGAGGGCTGGGCTCTGGGTCTCCCTGTCCAGTTTCAACTAAAACAACTCTGGCTGTATTAGACTCACACCAGGGTGATGCATAAAATTTCCTATGATGAAAATCTCTGCTCTGAATAAAAGAAAGGAAAAAGATTTGGAAACCTTTGCACTCTATCATGATATCTTTGCAATACAGTGCATCTGAAACTGAATTACATCATATTAGCCTGAGATAAGATGCAGATAATCTTTAATTTATGCCATCATTATGTTGATCTCTGTGGGCTAGAATCTGGGATGGTACAGTTCTCATTTGTGAGTGATGGAATCGACAGCAAAAAGTGGTCCTATGGTTTGCCCAAGATGCAGTATTTTCTGTGGAATAGTAATTTTGTGGTTGCCCAATATTTCTGTTTGGTCAGATCACAAATGTAGTCTAAGAGTTTACCTGCTGCAGGGGAAAAAAATTGACCAGGGATAATTTATTGCCTCAGCAGAGCTGAATGGATTTTTGCATAAGTTTATGTCTGTGACTTTGTAAAATAAGAGAAATTTCTTGGGACACTTTGTTTTGGAAAAACATCACTGAAGTGGCTGGTGCTTTTGTGGATATTCTGTAAATGTCAGAGAATCTATAGTATTATTGTGACAGATAACTCTGGCCACTGACATGTAATGAAGGATTCTTCAAAGCCCCACTTGGGAGGCATTGGGATGTCCCTGCAAAGACGCACTCCCACTCCCCTGCCCCATCTGCCCACCATGTCTGCCCAGCCAGCACTGTTTCTCAAGGCATGCTATGGAATATGCGTTTATCCTCTAACAGGGAGCTCAAGGAGNTACCAAAGCAAATTCAGTAATGCCTGCAGTCCTTCCCGGTGCTTAGTAAGGACTTGTACTTGCACTGTCTTTTTGGGGGAGTCATAGCAGTTCCCCAGGAAAGATTTTTATTCCCATTATATAGATGAGGAAACTGAGACATAGATGGGCCACATGAAACACTAGTCACAGGCAGAACCTGGTTGGAAACTCTAGTCTATGACTTCTTCATCTGTGTTCTAGCCAGTACTTGCAACCCTGCTCTGAGGGCTGGGCTCTGGGTCTCCCTGTCCAGTTTCAACTAAAACAACTCTGGCTGTATTAGACTCACACCAGGGTGATGCATAAAATTTCCTATGATGAAAATCTCTGCTCTGAATAAAAGAAAGGAAAAAGATTTGGAAACCATTGCACTCTATCATGATATCTTTGCAACACAGTGCATCTGAAACTGAATTACATCATATTAGCCTGAGATAAGATGCAGATAATCTTTAATTTATCCCATCATTATGTTGATCTCTGTGGGCTAGAATCTGGGATGGTACAGTTCTCCTTTGTGAGTGATGGAATGGACAGCAAAAAGTGGTCCTATGGTTTGCCCAAGATGCAGTATTTTCTGTGGAATAGTAATTTTGTGGTTGCCCAATATTTCTGTTTGGTCAGATCACAAATGTAGTCTAGGAGTTTACCTGCTGCAGGGGAAAAAAATTGACCAGGGATAATTTATTGCCTCAGCAGAGCTGAATGGATTTTTGCATAAGTTTATGTCTGTGACTTTGTAAAATAAGAGAAATTTCTTGGGACACTTTGTTTTGGAAAAACATCACTGAAGTGGCTGGTGCTTTTGTGGATATTCTGTAAATGTCAGAGAATCTATAGTATTATTGTGACATAACTCTTGCCACTGACATGTAATAAAGGATTCTTCAAAGCCCCACTTGGGAGGCATTGGGATGTCCCTGCAAAGACGCACTCCCACCCCTCTGCCCCATCTGCCCACCGTGTCTGCCCAGCCAACACTGTTTCTCAAGGCATGCTATGGAATATGCGTTTATCCTCTAACAGGGAGCTCAAGGAGAAGATTCAGCCAGAAATCTTAGAGCTGATCAAACAACAACGCCTCAACCGCCTCGTGGAAGGGACCTGCTTTAGGAAACTCAACGCCCGGCGGAGGCAAGGTACTGTTTGTGGGGACACTCAAAACAGGTAGGGTGACCAGTGCATGGTGTTGGTTTAAGGGTAGGCCACACAGCATTGTACTGGGGACAGGAATAGTGTTCCAGATAGTTCTGCTTGCCATGCATACCCAAGGAGAATCCCAAGGAGAATCAAAGCTCACAGTCACCAGAGGACGCATGAAACTGAAGAGCCATCCTTTGCCCTGTTGTGCCACAAGGCTGCCAGTGGTAGTGTCAACAACAGCTAATGTGCATTGGGAGCCCAGCACGTACCAGCCTCTCCTCCAAACCTTGTACTTATATTGGTGCATTTTTTCCTCCCCATGACCCCATAAGGTAGCTCCTGTGATGATGCCCAGTTTAAAAATAAAGAAAGGGAGGTACTCAGAGGTTGGGTAACTTGCCTGAAGTTGCAGAGGAGCAAGGATTTATACCCTGCAGCTCCCAGCTCTTCCTTTTGATGACTCACCGTTGGTCGCTGTTGGGTGACCTGACACCCACTGTTGGGTTTGACGTGGAACTTCCAGCATGGATGCCCTTGTTCTCAAACACCCTCACTGATTCATTTCCTCCAGGTCAGAACTACTTTATTTGGGGTTATAAGTAAGTGAACTAAGGTGGGATAGAATCAGTTTTCATAATTTTTCAAGACAGATTTCTAAATTGTCTCTCTAAATTCTAACTGCAAAATGTCAAGTCAAAATGAGTGCCAGCACACCAGATCCAGCAGGTGGGAGCATTTCCAGCTGTTTCTTTGCTGGGAAGGTAAAGCACCCTTGACTGTTCTCCATGCTCTTGATATGCTGCTGATTGCAGAGTGAATGTATTCATATCATACTGTCCTAGAAACAACACTGAAAACAAAGTTTGGGAGAGGAGACTAGATTAAGGAAGAGCCAAGAGCAAGCAGGGGCATCAGCAGCCACACTAAGAGCAGACAGAGTTCTAGGAGCAACTTTGGCAGGTGTCCTGAAACCTGAGGACTGCCCTGCTCAGACACAGACCTCACTCCCTGGTGACAAAAATCATTTCATGTTTGTGCAGAGCCCACCCCCGGCCATTTACTTTAATTGCTCTGTGCTGAATCTTCGGTAAATGTGAACTATTTCAGATGCTACCATTAAAAACCACATTGAGGAACTTCCAAGGGCAGAACTTCCTTGAGGAATGAACATGCAGGTTATTCGTAAAAGCTCAGGGGCTTTGACAGCGAGCTTCAGGTGGGGCCTCAGGAGGGGACAGCAGGCAGAATGATAAAGGGCTGAGTTGCAGAGAAAGGCTCACGTTAGGAAGAGCCACGGGGAGCAGCCACGGAAGGAGGAGCCACGTCTCCTTCCTCACTGCGTTCCTTGCTTCAGGCATCCTGTTCCAAGAAAACAGTGTGGCACCGTGGCAGGGACGGGTGCCCTGGAGCAGATGCTGTGGGCGCAGTCTCGCCTCTGCCCCTGCCTACCTTGGGCATTTCCCCACCTAAGTAAAGACAACAGTGCCTACCTGCCAAGGCTGTTGTGAGGAAGAAAGGAGATCCTGCATGCAGCTCTAAGAAAGCAACGGCGAAAAGTAACTACTATTATTCTGGAAAATTGTGCAGGAGAAAAGCAGTGAGCCACGACTGAGTAGAGCTGGTGCTAGGCTTCTCAACTCTTTAGGCAGGACCTGTGACCCCTCAGGGCCATAAGATTCCATCGATAAAAGGGGAGGATGGAACTAGAAGACTGGGAAGCTCAGTTAGCCAGATGGGCAGTTGTATGCCCTGATCTCTTCGTTGTCTTTAGAAGAATCAATATCTGGAATATATTGCCCCCCGTAAGGGTGCTTTATAAGGTTTTTATTTACCTGATATTGGGAAAAGGACACAGAAGTTTGGAGACGGGGGACGCAAATGGACACAAACCGCAAAACACCTCCACTGAGGCCCGGCTAGAGTCCTTTGGAACCTAATTCCTAGTCCTCGATTTAACCTTGCAGTCCACTTTACCATGAGACTTCCCTTTCCAAGCTGAAATGGGTGGGTTCTACCAGAATAATCCTGTTTGTAGATGTAATAATTGTTTTCGTTAAAAAAAAATGTTAGTCCCTTATCTGTAAATTTTTCCAATTTTCTAAAAATGAACTATTCAATGAACAAAAAAAAAATAAATAAGCATCTAGATTATAAATTTATTAGTTGAGCTCCCTAGGGAGCATGACCATCTGTGTTTAACAGAAAATCATCCTTCCAAGTGCATAAGGGAAGGCTTTTTGGTATTTAGTAAATGGATTTGAAATCTGGTGACTGACTCTGTGCTTAAAAATAGGGATTCAAAGCAGACTGTGCTGAAATTGGTTTCCTATCACCCTATCAAAACATTCCATTTAAATTTACACAGATTAATGAGAACATGTTACAAAATCATTTTTAATCCTCTGAGAAAGATGCGCTTGCCTGTGAGATCTCAGACTGAGACGGACAGCCGCCTGCTGGGGGCCGTCACAGGCTCAAGGGCAGGTGCTCCCCGTGCAGGAGCCGTAGCCACACTCCCTTGAAACTTGTCCAGCTGTGGCTAGGATACAGAGAAATGAATGTAAGTAACTAACTTTATAGGGGAAATAGGAAAGAGCTTCCGGTCCCACAGAACTGGAAAGTGGAGGAGCAAACAGTCCTTTACTGGGCCGTGTTTGGCGAGAAGGCCCCGACGCCGATGCTTGGCTGGAATTCTGCCTGTCTCCTTGTTAGCTCTGCCGCGTGGATAGTCTAACGCAGACGTGTGCAGATCTGGGCCTCTGGGGATTCTGACCACATTAGAACTGGGAAGCGGTAAATCACGTAAGACGGATGAGGCTGGGCTGGAGCGCTGCGTCCTCGCTGGCTAGCTGGGTGGCCTTGAGCAGCCTGCCCGGCTCCCTGCGCTTCTTTCTTCTCCATCAGACAAGGATGTCAGCAGTTCCTACAGCAAAGAGAGGTGAGGGTGCGATAAAATTATACAGCGACGGCACCTATCATGGCGCTTGGCCCACTATCCAACACGCGTTAATGTTTATTATTTATTTTATTATTTATTTATTATTTATTTTCGCTTGTGCTTCCTCGGAGTATAGCTTTTTAAACACAGGAGGTAGAGTGGTATTGGATGCCACGCGCTGGCTTTGCTCCACCCTGTCCCCACCGCAGAGAGTGAGGCTGTGGGTGCAGAGCCCTCCACGATGGGAACTGCCTCGCTTCCGCGCTCCCTGGACTCCTGCCGGGGAGACTTAGGTGACCCCAGAGCCTGTCTGTGTCGGGACCATTGTTTGCTCCACTGGAATCTGTAGGCTCCAGACCGCCCCTGCTCGCCTCATGTTTCAGAGATGAAGGTCTCAATCAGAGCCCAGGGCTCAACACGGGAGAGTCATTTCAGTCATTTCAAGAAATGATAACGTGAAGCTTCTGTCGAGGACATTGTCCATCTCACGGACCAGCACACCTTCTCTGAGTGCTAACGTGACAAGCTTACCTTGGATCTCAATGCTGGGCAGAACTCGTCGCCCTGAGGAACCGGTGTCCCTCCCCACTTCTGCCCACAGGGCCTGTGGACCTTACGTTGCCCATGTGACCCAGTCAGAAAATCCAGAGCAAATGCGACGAGCAGATTGTTTCTTTCTCTGCCCTTGACTGAAATTTTCTTTTAATATTCGTTGCACCTAATCATAACCATTTTTACAAAAAAAGCAGATTTAAATAAATACCTAATTGTAAATGAAGAAAAGCCAGTTCCTTTTCAGGAAAAAGGCACTTTCTAATAGATTAAAATAACAAGTAACCATGTTCCCAAGAGATGGAGGGACCGGCATTGTGGATGAGAGGGGCCTCCGTGGACTGCAGGAGAGGCGGGCACAGACGTTCACTGACAGCCGGCTCTGTGGAAGGTGCGTGATGGGCACTTCATACACGTGTGACTCAAGTCGCTGACCGGTACTAACAAACGAAGAACAGGCATCCCTAAGGTTTTTACAGTGCAGCCACGCCCCTACAGCCGAGAAGTGTCAGGGCCAGATGTGTGACCCAGTTTGGTGAGACTCAAGGCATCTGTTAGGCCAAATCATCTTCAAAAGTATTTGGGGGCTCTGGAGTCATATGTTGCAAACAGCTGTGTCCAGGGAGGCAGAATTCTGAATCATAACACAAGACTCTCATCTTGAAGAGTGTTCAGTGAAGTGCAGAAGATCTGAATGGCAGAATGACCTTCATCTGTATCTACAGTTACTCTTTCCCTTTACTGGGTGACTGAGAAATCATGGATTTCATCACCTGGAAGATGACATTTCTCTTTAAATGCACCACCACGTCCCTCTGTTTTGTGACTTGGAAAGTTCAACCTCAGGCAGGAAGCCAACCTTCTCCTGAACACACTGAAGACTTGGCACATTTTAGGTTAGCCTAGGAAAAATCAGAAATCCTAATGGAAGCACTCTGAGGATGTGCTTTTGCAAAGGCCTCCTGCCTCCCCAGCACAGGCCTCTTGGGATCAGCAGCCAGCTGCCGACTGTGGGCTCTGCACCCAAGACAGAGATGCCCCCTGATTCCACAGCAGGGGTGGTCAGGACTCGCTCCTGCTGTGCCCAGCATCGCACGCTCAGCAGTGGCAGCTATTACTCAGCTTGCCTGGCTCCCTGCAAACCTGGCGCCAGCCCCAGCTTGTCTGCAGCCCGGGTGGTGAGGACGGACAACAGGCTGCACTGGTCAACACAGCTACCTGCAGCTGTTTAAGTTATTTAAAATAAAAGGAAATGTAAACTGTGTTTGCTCACTATGGGACAGAGCAAATATAGAGTATTTCCATCATTGCAAGAAGTTTTGTTGGACGGAGCTAGAGTTACACTTGTCGAGGGTTATTAGCTCCATAATAATCTACGTGACATTGGGAACGGCTTCAATAAGCCGTTCTTACCAAGCTTGTGAGCTTTGACACCAGCTTTTCCCTCTGATCCTTCACACACACGAGNAAAGCAACAGCGAAAAGTAACTACTATTATTCTGGAAA